TTTTAACTAAACTAATCGTTTTGGTTATTTGTCCACCGTATTTTTCATCATCGTCACCACTAATATTATTGTCATTGGCACCATCACCACCTTCTTCCTCTTGTGCTTCCTCCGTTCCTTCCTCTTCAACTTTTCTTCATCTTTGCTCCTCTCCCTCTTCATTTTCTTCTCCTAAAGCTTCTTTTTTGTTTTTGTCGCTCCATACTTCCCACAAATATGGCTACATTTTTCTAAACTCGCCAAAAAGCCGCTACGGTAGAGGGAAAAGACACACTTTTTTCTACTTCTCTTTCCCAATCCTCTAACTTGAAAAATGCAATAGAACTTTCACTTTTTTGATCTTTTTTATATTAGAATTGGAAGAATAAAAAATTGGAAACCAAAAAACGGGGAAGTAAGAAATTTTTTACCAAGCGGCAATTTGGTACCGGTAATAAGTGAATAATGAATGACAATCATACAGTTATTGATATCTCAACAAAAGAGGATTTCATATTCGTTCAATCTCGTGCACTCTTATCAGTTTACAAGTAATCTTTGTTCTGTATGAGTGCTAAATTTTTTCTGTCTTTGTTCTTTTTTTTAATTTTTCGACTTCATTTTTATACTTTTTATTTTTATATAATTTATTCCATATATATGATACGCTACATTGTTAGAAGTGGTTTTACTGCTTAGTAAATGATTTCTTTTTCTTTGGTCTTATTCCTTCTCGTGAACGAAACATCTGCACAAAAACCAACATTAGAAATATTCACAGAGGCAGAGGAATGAGATTTGGCGAAAAGTTTTAGCTTTTCAGTATTTTAGTATTATCACTAATTCAGGTGCCAGTGCCGCTGTGGCACTTCTCCGAAATTAATTCATGGGGCGAATGATGCCAGGAGCAAATCAGAGTTATAAGGAAAATGAAAAAAGTTGATACCAAATATGAATGGTTGTAACCTTAACTTTTCAAGCATATAAAACAATTACCAAAGCGCTGAAAAAAAAAAAAAAAAAAACGGGCAGCCAGCAAAATACGAAAATAAATACTCTATTAAGCTGGTTGAATCTAACGGACGTCGATACTTGCGCAAACAAATACTGTTTAAATGAAAATATCTGTATTCATGACTACTTTCTGGTTAAAAAGTATCACTGTTTTGTGGCTTTACACGTCAACGAACTGGTTGATTTCTGGTATAAATGAACAGTTAAACTCATGATAAAGGTGAACAAAAAAAAAGAAAGAAGTTCGAGCGTTAGGCAAAGAACTTCTGTATTGAGGACGTTTCCTAAATCATTTGTTAGTTGTTCATAAAAATGGGAACACAACGACTACTGTTTGGAGAAAGGAAAGAAAGTATGTTCTGGGTTTTAAGTGAAACTGGCTAATTACAATGTCGAGTAGAACCAAAAAGGCTGCTTCTGAAAATATGTCAGAACTGTAAAACCAGGTTTTTAAGCCTTAAATCCATCAATACAAGAGAAATCTACACCACTAATTTTGAGTAACACCACTAATACACTTCATACATCTTAAACATTATTTGATTGCAAAAAAGTATTTTACAGCATCAATATGTTGGCAGTAAAAGGTTTCTGTCACTTCAGTGTTTTACATTTGTGCTGTTACAAAAATACCAATTTTCTTCTGTGTAACTCTAAATAACCGTCCTTTTTACTAGAAGTAATGAAAAAAATATATAAGAAAACAATTTTCTCCCGCTAGTCAAAAACAACAGCAACTTTTTATTTGTTTGAAACACTGTAATCAAATAGTTTTATACCACAAATATAAGTCCTCATGGTAAAATTAGTGGGCACTGTTAATCAGGGAGAAAAAGTAGTTTTTACAGCTTCAAAACTATCAAGAGATATTACTTTAACAAGCTCCTCCTTACTGCCTCCAACTGCCACAACAGGACCAGAATCAGGTGAGAACTTGACGCATTGTAACTCGCCAAAATTCAATTTCTGCGAATGAACCATCTGCAGTCCTGATGGACTACCCTTCCATACCTTTAGCATCTGGAACAAATTCAAAGATTTCACAGTATAGGATTAAAACTCCGTTGACTTCTAGAAGTTGCTATAACAGGTATTAAAACTAATTTGAGAAAAGAAGTACTATATACCTCGTCAGCTCCACATGTACAGATGAGACCATTAACGCTGTAACTTTGTGAAACACCGTGAATCCCTCCTTCATGGCAATTAACTGTGTACGATGGGCTTGTACTTCTTGAATCGCAATAATATAGTTCACCTACAAGTAAAACAAACATACACACCACCCCTCTATAGAATTTTACTTGATAGGAGCAAAGACATCTTGAAAGGTCTTCCACTTGAATAAAAATCTCAAAGTGCGGTTTTTGTAATAAAGTATCATGACGATACACTAATTTAAGAATAACTTCCACACTTTTTCAACTGTTTCTTCCAATAACAATACCTACAAAACTTAAATAACCTGTATTAGTTACGGCGTAGAAGTAGAACGGATTGAAGTGATCCCATAATAATTGTTCCACTTCACCATCTACTTTCCAATGCCTGGGTAATGCGGAAGTCCCTTGCCTACAGTCACGCAAAGCAATATTTCCAGAAATTGTGCCATATAACAATACAGAAATTTCACCTGGATGCCAATTCACAGCTTGTACCTAGACTACACTACGACAAAATCCTATTGCACATTTAAGAGCCAGGTAACCTTCCTGAGATTTTCCAAGATTTTCCAAGTCAAAGAAATTTCCCAAAGTGTTATATAGAAACGAGTCGCAATACTAGCATTACCTTGCCGTCACAGTTAGGGAATATCGTGGCTGCTTTGGCATCATCAAGATCCCAGAGAACAACTGACTCATCAGCACTTCCCGAAGCAAGTACATGGTCGCTATTACTATTCCACGAAATACTTAACACTGCATCCGAATGAGCTTGTGTACTTCCATCTCGCCTTCGTCTCCTGCCTGAACGTTAAAAATAAGTCAGGAAAAAAAGAACAGGAGAATGGCCAAATAAAAAATGCCTAAAGAGAGAATCAGCCCCATCATCTCCCAAAAGATTTGAATGTACTCCTCTTTCTTGCTTTAGTTTTTTAAATCGAGGTTGTAAACCAATTCTGACCAGATGAAGCGCCAAGAGAAAGTGCAGGTTCAACTGCATTTACTACGTCCAAATCCCATATATTTATTACAGGTTTCATTGTACCAACAGCAATGAAACTGCCCTGAAAAGTCTTAAAACAAAGTGAACTCTGTACAGATAAGGAAGAAAAAATGAAACTTTAGCAAAAGTAGCAAGAAGCATACTGCAGAATCTCAATATATCAGGAAAATTCAAAAAAATAAACCAATTTTTAAGAGCCGACTTTGTGGTTTTGTTCTCCAGGATCGTATGTCAGATGTTCTAGACAAAGTGGTGGAGCATCCAGTATATAATCGTGATGTACATACCAGTCTTTATCATTTTCGTTATAAATATAAACCTCAAGTGTATATTCATCCTGGAAGTAACAAAAATACAGTCTTACTTCCTTAGGTAATCCTCTGCAAAATTGTAAAAAATGTTGTTATCTCACAATATCAAAAATCAAAAGTTACTTTATTAATTTTTGCAACAGCAACAAGGTTGTCATCAGGTTTTATTTCAAAGTCTTCCTTATCTTCTGCATCACTATCAATTGGATTTGTGATATAAGGGTCATCAAGGGGTGAAGCATACATCGCAATTCCAGTCATGGTAACTCTCCTGAATGAAAAGCACCACAGCTTAGATTTGTATGTTTGAAAGAAATGAAAGGAAAATAACATTTCATTAAAATGCTCTCAAAAAATGAAATGAATCGCCACAACAAAAACTGAATCCACTACACCACTAGACAACAATCATACTAAAAGCTAGTCAACTACAGTTGATGCATAAGAATAAGTCAGGGAAATGTAAACCACTATAGAGTTCATAGAAGCATTCTTAAAGAAACTATTAAGCAAATACCTTGAATTAATGTTTAAAGGTTAATGCCGCAAAAAAGTTGCGGTTAGAAACAAATAATTTGTGCATGAAGATTCTGAAGTGGGGTATATTACAACTACCGATAGGAACAAACAGGATTTAAATAACGTAACGAACGACAGACCTAGAAGTACTCGTATTGCTTGCTCTTACTTCTGCTGGAAGTTCTGCAGACTGCCGATCAGTCTAAACTATTACAATAATAGCAACTTTTAACACCTATCTCATACTGCAGTACTTTCAATTCTTAAAAAAGGTCAAAAGTAAAAAACTTTGTAGGGAATGGGTAAAACACTTACCGATTGTTGATCGGCATTACTCTCTCCCATTTCAGTATCTGACTCTGCTTCATCAGCTAAATCAAAGTCACACTGGTACAAAAAGTTAATTACCAAAGACAAAGAGAATTACGTTAAGTCTTTGAAAAAAGTTCAGAAAATTTAGTGAACCTCAAGAAATTAAAGTTTCAAAATATTTTCTAAAGCCACCAAATCAAATGTTAATCTTAAAAATCTCTTAAAGACAAAAACGAGACTTTGGAAATTAATTTCAAAAGCACAAAGAAACTATTGACGTTTAAAATTAAATTTGCTTTTATTGTACATTTAATGCTTGATAAATAAAATACTTGTGTAATTCGCAAAACAAAGGACCCAAAATTCGACTCACATTGAATAAGGTGTCTGATTTCATCTGCAGTCAACTTGACCTTCTCAGGAATACTTTTAGAAATACCACGCTTAACCCACACGATATCAGCCGTTATCGTTGGACCACTCATCTCCACCTTCCAGCTAGTCTGCAAAAACTGATTGCATAGGCAACTTAAATATTTGTATCAGCCGGTTATAACCTCGACAGCAGCAAATTTACTATATATTTGAAAATAACAACAACGGCCCAAACAGCAAGCCAATTCACGGTCTATATTTACATTAGACTGTATTAGTTTACTTTCTTTGACAGCTACAACAAAAAAAAAAAAAAAAA